GTACCATGTGACAAACAGTGTGGGAGAAATACAACAGAATTCTACAGCATAACACATTCTCTTCACCTATGCAGCACGAAACGTGAGATGTCCATTGTTGTTGTAATGTAGTATTAGTACAAGTAAATTACAAATCAAGTACAGTACAATGCCAGTCAAGTTTAAAGTAGACACTTGAAAACAAGTCAGAAAGCCTAAAACCGACTAACACGCTGCGGCATTCTTTCTTAGCTCATGCATGAACAATTAGTTATTCAGTTGTTTTATTAGGAAGACAAAACCTTCCGATGTTTTCATTTGTAACAGTTTATTACACGCCCAGCCCTCAAATTCAGCTGGCTGACGTAAAAAAGAACCTGTGCTTCTCTCACAAGAAAGCATTACAAAACTATCGAAAACATACTGTGACATTAAATAGCCATAGAAGTCTGCATCCAAAAAAGACCATCCACAAATACAATTGGGAAAGAGGTATTCCAATGAACTAATAAATAAATAAATAAAATTAAATAATAAACGGCATTCTGACAATATAAATAAATGTATTGCAAATAAATGTAAACGTAAACACAATAGAAGATTTTCTAGCCTGAGAAATAGTGAATGTAATGGCTTCTTGATAACCATGGCAAAGGTAAGCTGAAACACACAGGTCAAAAGTTTGGAAAGATTAAGATTTGGTCATGTTTTTCTGAGAGCGTTTATTTCATAAAAATAATATAAAAACAGCAATGTTGTGCATTATTCACCGTAAAAAAAATCCTTTCTTCATGTTGTCTCAAACCAAATTAATTACGTTAACTTAATTGTTTTGGATTGAACATAAATTTAATCAATGAATAAGTCGTCCCCAAAAAACTCAAGAATTTTGTTGATTCAGCTCATTTTAAGTAAGTAGTATGAACAAGCAGCAAAGATTTTTTTTTTTTGAGCGTTCAATAAAATCTTTTCAGTGTGAATATGTTAAATTTATTATGTGTAAACTTTATTATTGGTACTTCTAATATATCACTGGTTCCACAGATGAAAATCAGAAAAATCAAATCACTGCTGAAAATTCACCACCGAATCACATTAATGAATTCAAATTGAAAGCATTTAAAAAAAAATTATATGATTCAAAGTATTGTTGTTTCCATTGTATTATTAACCAAATGGGGTATATGCACACAGACTTTTTTATTTCAGCCAACCAGCCAGCCAGTCTTTCCATTATATACTTGCCACATTTAAGGTCTGATTCTTTAAAAATCAGCGATCTTCACTGCCTGATAGATATACAATATAAAGTGGGTCTCAGACAGTACAAGCAGCCCTGCATTAACCCTTGTGTGCTGTTCAAACTGACTATCCTTTTGTTATGTTCATGCCTGTTTTTGCCGCATTGACTTCCATTATAATGTCATGTTTTGATTGTGAAGCTGTGACACCAAATAATCATGCATTCTTGATTGTTGGTGTTTTTCCATGTTGGGAAGAGGTAAAACTTTTCATTTTTACTGTTGATCATCAGTTGGCAGCATTAAACCTTTAGACAGGCCTGTGCAAAAACAAACAAACAAAAAAAGTTTCTACACTTCATATAACCATATCCAGAAACTAGATTTTTTTTTACACAGCAACTAATGATCAACAGTAAAAAATGTGTAAATGTATCTGTTCCCAACAGGGACAACCAGAAACAATCAAGAATGCATGATTATTTGGTGTCATGGATTTGCAATCAAAAAATGTGGGAATAATGGAAGTCAAAAGCAAAACCAGCCATGAACATAATGAAAGGCAAAGAATTTCCCTAAAATATACGTCAAAATAAGATTTGTCACCAAAAATCATACCATTTGCTGAAACACAGGGACAGTTGTGGCCAAATTAAGACTCAATGTCACCCCAAAGTGGATTAAAACATTCCAAACAGCACATACTGTAAGAGTTAAATTCCATTTCCCGCACCATGCCTTTAAAATGTGACAGTTTAATTTACCCCAGTATTTTCAACGAAGTTTTTACGCTCACCTGCTAATCCTGATGGCGTTAACAGTTACACAGACTTTTATCTTGTTTTACGCTTGAACAACTAGGTGAATGTATTGTAATTACTGTACATTACAACATTGATACTGTAAATGTAACCTAATGAAAATGAAAATAGTCACATTAAGCTTTGACCAGAAGCTTATCATTGGCTGAAAAACAGCTGTGCATATATCCCATTGTGCAGCCAAGAAGTAGAAGAAGCTTTTTTTTTTTTCAAAAAAATCTTTAAAATTGTCACCTTTCTGAACTTCTGACCAGTTTGCAAAACACTTTTTAATAATGTCAATATTGTATCTTGGTTGTAGGCAAGATGATAAATCATGCAAAATACAGAGTATTTGTTTTAATGATACTAGCTTTGTCTGAACTACTGTACAATTACAAAAAGCCTTTTGTCTTAAAGCCTGTCTTAAAATAAAGAAAAACAGGAGATAAACATTCTGCAAGATCACAGAGTCGTGTAAACAGTTGTCATATTATTGCATTGTTCGTGTGACACGTTCAGTCTAATAAGAGTAATTAACCAAGCCTCTCAAAACATCTTGTGACAGAGTCATTTGGGTAAACAAAGAGTAAACTAATTATCATAGTAAGTGACAGATGCGTACTCTCACGCAATGACAAAAGACGGCATTTAGATGGAGCGTCCAGCAATATCAGTCAGGGTCTGCACTAGGGGTGGTTGTTGCTGGTGTAATTTTATGGAGGGAATGAGCCAAACGAAATCCAATTTACCCTGGTAAAATTGCTCTGAGCAAAAGATAGGAGGGAAATAGTGAAAAGGGGAAGGAGGTTTACCTCATTTGTCACTGTACTGTCCAATCACAACACTTCACAAGATGGCCGAATAGCCACACTGTTCCAGTCTGCGCCTCAGAGGAAATGCACAAACAACATAAAACTTCACCCTTTTGGCCCTAGGTTGATTGAATAACATTTCTGTTATCATTCAGTGGGGAGATAGTATAAAATGTTGCTCAACTGATTCCTGCCACAATACACTGTATATTCAAGGCAATATTGACCCTGTGTTGGCGGAAAGGAGACCAGGATAAGCAAATATTTTAAAAGTGCAGAGGAAAAGAACTGAAATGAAGGGCTCGCATTTCTGCTTCGAGCAACTTTTTGCACTAAAGCAGGGTGTTTCTGTGAGTAAAAACAAAAACGGGAAACAGATACAATGTGAAAAATCACTTCCGTGCACTGTATTTTTGTATTGTTTTTCAGTTAGAAGAAAAGAAAACATTTATTTGAAGCAAAATTAAGAATTAGGTTTTAAGAAACATCTTACTTTAAATGGTTAGTTCACCCAAAATTTGACAATTCATTCATTCATTCATTCATTCATTCATTCATTCATTCATTCATTCATTTTGCTTTGGCTTAGTCCCTTTATTCATCAGGGGTATCCACAGCAGAATGAACCGCCAACTTATCCAGCATATTTTTTACGCAGTGGATGCCTCTTTCAGCTGCAACCTATCCCTGGGAAACACATATACAAACTCATTCACATTCCGATGCAGTCTGATGCTTTATCTAAAATTCCATAGCTACCCTAATTATATGTATTCTCCTGTCACAAATAAATCAGTTTTAGTATTGCTTCTATCACAAAGCAGTCACCAAATATGCAGGCTTGTAACCAAAGGGGGTTGGGTGGTTCGGAAGATCCTCCCCTTATTGACAAAGGTCCAGAATTTGTCCCAAAATAAGCTCATTTGTTCTATATTGATGGCTATGCCATCATAAATAGTGAAAACAGCCAATAGAAAAAGGCTTTAGGACCAAGCGGGATCCTCTCTTGGGTGTAGCTTCGGCTTGACTTCAGCTAACTAGTTTTGGCCAATGCAAACAAATATTTTTCATGAGACCAACATCCAGCTGTGCAAGAAAACACGCTATCGGACATAAATGAAGTCATCTTTCACCACTGTTTTGTTTTTAAGTAGAGAAAATATTTTAGTAACTTTTATTCTAAATCTTTGAATGACTTTTTATTGAAATGGACAAATTATGACTGAGGAAAATTGAATGTGCTGGCCAGTTTGTTATTTGCCTAATAAATGACAATAGGCAACATTTTTTAATTTAAAACTTTAACAGAGTCCTATATTTTTTCTAATGATGTATGGTGTAATTAATTTGCATTTTAAAAATAATCTATTATAAATCTTTAGGAAATATTTGGAACATCAGAAAGTGTGGATATGATTACCATTCGGCAAGCAAATTAAGCTAAAAATAGTGCATAAAATGTCACTAAAATGCAGTATTTAAATCTCATAACTAAATAGAAAATGAGGTGAATAACTGCAAAAGGTCCACTTTTTGAGAAAAAAATAACCACCCCTTTCACCAGGCTGGCTACGGGCCTGATATGTAACCTTGACTACCACAACTTTCCAGCATGTATTGTCAAGATCACAAGTAAATTTCACAATATAAAACTCGACTACTGGAATACATTGTCCAATTTGTTTGGAATGCTTTTCAAAAACATCAAATGATACCTAATTTATGAAGGTTAATCAAAATATGTGAGGATAAAAAAACAATAAATAACACAAACGCAACATGACGAATGAACACTGACAGTTAACAAAATAATAGATCTACAGTATAATTCAAGTGAAAAAAGATCATTGAAAAATAATTTTATTAGCATAGATGAAATGAGGCAAAAAAAAAAAAAAAACTAACTAAAAAGGTTTATGAGTCTTGCACCATGTGTAATTCTCTATGTCTATAAGCTGGTTTCTACTTCTGTGTGGAGTGATCAGTGTGACCCACGGCGCATGCCTTGCCATGCATTTATACTTCTGCATGTTGTTAGTGTTGCACTGCAATAACACTTCCAAAACGCTAGCTGGCAGTGAGGTTTTTATGTTCCTTTGTGTCGAGTTTCTTCCCTAGTGTTTTGTTTTTTTCTGAACGCTACCTTAATGTACAAGTACCTAAGGCCATACTCACACTAGGTACAGTTGCCTCAAACCAGGCCAAAGCACGCTTGTCCCCCCTCCTGTCTCCCCCAACGGCCCGCACTTACACTACCATCAGGCCTGAGTACGCTTACGTCATTGATGCTGCGCTGTTCAGTAGAGAAGTGCTCTCGCTCAGCACAGTGGAGATTTCTCTAGTTATATTGGTTTAGTCGTTTGATATGCGGTGACACGCAGTCAGATATTTCGCCGAACAGATCCGTCACTTTTAGCGCTCATAAACAATTATAAAGCCCTCGTGCTGCAGGAATGAGGAGGTCTGCTGAAGGTGCGCATCTGTCGTGCAGTGAGAGATTTGCATCTTTAATCTAGGGGAGTTTGCGTTCACTGAACAGTAAGAATGATTAATAAATCCATATGAAACAGTCCCTCAAAGTCACGTCTGGCTTTCATTTTCAGCTTTGGCGCGTTTAGCACTCACACTACAAACATACCGCGCCAAAGCCCAAGTGAACCGCGCTCAGGGCCACCTCTTCCAACCGGGCCAGGGCCGGCCAAGTGAACCGTACCTGAGCCCGATTCAGCACACTCACACTTTTCAAATGTTCCGGGAAACGGGCCTGGGCACGGTTCGGATAGCATAATGTGAGTAGGCCCTAAACCTCTCTCATTCTGGAGCAGGAACCGGTGGATGCAACAATTTTATTCATAAGGTAAACACAAAACAAAAGTTTCCATCTTGAGCTCCTTCATGGGACTCAACACTTGTAAACACTCGCTCCAACAGGTTCACACAGCTCTCACCACTACCAAGCCGACCAATCACAAAGCTTGTGCTACTCATCATTTAAACTTTTGTGAGGTGAGCATCAGCATCTGCCATGGTGAGGGGTATGCGACTGCGCAAAGGCTGCAACGGACCATACAAGTACACTTGATGCAGAAGTATAAATCAACCTTAACACACACACACACACGCTATACACTAATACAGACATTTTGGCTGATATTGACATACCGATAAGTCAATAAATAAAAAAATGAAGCCTGAATACTAAAACCAAAAACAAACAAAAATACAGTGGACTACTGTTTTTACTTTAAACCGTAACTTAAGAAGATATGGAACAAAAATAAAAAATTCAAGGACAAAGATCTTTCCTTTCCCAAAATCATTTGAAAACATCTAGGTATAAAAAATTCCTAAAGTACCAACATCTTGCCTTTCCTCTAGCGTAAACTCTTCTAAGATGTAGAATGATTGCGTGTGATTTGAAATAGTCCATAATTCATTGCTCTGTATTGATAACATTAATTCCAATATGGTTGTTGATGTATCGTGTATCACTACCGTGTATATTTATGAAGTCTTTATTGTGTGAATATTTGATGTCAGAATGCCAAAACTGTCTGAGTTTGATCCTATACTGTCTTAAAATGCGCCGGATGAAAAAAATAAAGATCTCTCAGGTAAGAGCGAATAAATAATTTAGGAATCAGAATAAATAAATAGATAAATAAACATATGCTTGTGCCTTTAGCTACGCTTCAAAAAGTCTTCATTGACTGGCACCTTGTGTAGTCCAGAGGCTTATACTTCTAATGATAAGCCATTCCTTCTGATTGGCTGTTACCACAATGCGAACGCACTCGATATCAAACGCTATCTTGTGGTCCACATCGTGAACCTCAATGTTTCCATTTTTGAACTCTCCTAAAGTTATATAGGAGGAGCACTGCCTTCCCTTTTTGGTTCCTATTAACTTCTCTCCAACTTCCAAAGCTCCATGATGCAGAATATCATTCTGGCGATCATCGGTTCCCGTGATGATCTTGATTTTACTGATTTTTGTCGCCTTGTTGAATACTATAACATAAAAGTCCCCGGTGGACGGTGCCTTGCCCCAAAAGTACTCGTCCACGCTACTGTATGCTTTGGCAGCATCATAGCTCTCAAATACATTTATGTTTGTGTACAAACTAGCAGGTGGGTTGTCTGGGATATCGAGGGAGTCTTCCTCGAAGTCATCGTCCTTGAGTTTGTTCTCTGCCCCCTTATACGAGGAATAGTAGCCCATGTGTTGGAAAAGCGAAGGCTTGAAGCGAATGGCATCCTTCTGGGCCAGGAGGCCTCTGAAATGGATAAGAAGCCAATCGCAAGGCATCTCCTGATAGAACATGAGCAGAAAATGAGCAAGTCTGGGAAGGTCTCGTGAGTGGTACAGCTTTCCTATGTAGCCCAGTTTGGAGAACTCCAGCATCACCCAGTATGAACCCTCCCGGGACGCCACAACTTTCTTTAGGGCGGTGAGGAAGTTTCGGGAGCAGCGCACATCGTCCTCCAGCATCATGTAGAAGTCTGATAGATTGGTGCAGAAGTTGAGCAGAAAGGCATAATCTACGTTTTGTTTGGACCTGAAGCGAACTCTATCCTCAGGATCATTGTAATTTCTCTTCAAACCATCCAGGGATGGGTAGTACTCCTCAGGTGCATGGATTACAAGCAGCCGTCCCGCAATGATATGGTGGCCGAACTTTCTGGAGATTTCTTGAACTAGGCTTTCACACCACGCAAGGTCGAAATCTGCCAGGTGGACAACAACAATGATCTCTTTGAGCTCCTCATAGCTTGACTGGTCAAAAATAGACTTAATGGTCTCCAACAGGTAATTTCCTCGCTTTCTTTTCACAGATGACAATCCAATGGTGAGATACTCTGCAAAAGAGCACAGGAAATCATTGAGCAAGCGAATGCTATTGATTTGACACATTGTCTATAAGGTGAATACAATCCAGTACAAACACAGAAAAATCTTTAAATCTGTTTGAAAAGCAAGCCCTTACAGAAAATACACATGAGCTTCACAGGTGCCAGTATTTTGATTTACGAATGTTTAATGTACCAGAAAATAAAACAAATACGGAGGAAGATTTATCTATTTTTTTGCTTTTAATTGTACATTCTTAATTTATACTTCCCTTTAAACATATTTTCCCAGTGAAAATTATATATAAATATTCTAACAACAAGATGCCTTTACTTGAACCAAAATTAAGTAAAACAGTATATCATAACCTATACATGTGTGTGTGTGTTTGTGTGTGTGTGTGTGTGTGTGTGTGTGTGTGTGTGTGTGTGTGTGTGTGTGTGTGTGTGTGTGTGTGTGTGTGTGTGTGTGTGTCAATGTATCAGATTTGTATCAGAAAAGACAATTGACTAAATGCACTTGATATGCAAAAAAATAAATTAAAAAATATTTATACATAGTATATATACACTCACCGGCCACTTCATTAGGTACACCTGTCCAACTGCTCACTAACGCACATTTCTAATCAACCAATAACATGGCAGCAACTCAATGTATTTAGACATGTAGGCAAGGTCAAGATGATCTGCTGGAGTTCAAACATCAGAGCATCAGAATGGGAAAGAAAGGTGATTTACTTGACTTTGAACATAGCATGGTTATTTCAAAAACTGCTGATCTACTGGGATTTTTACGCACAACCATCTCTAGGATATACAGAAAATGGTCAGAAAAAAGAAAATATCTAGTGATAGGCAGTTTTGTGGATGCAAATGCCTTGTTGCTGCCAGAGGTCAAAGGAGAATGGCCAGACTTGAAAAAACGTTACGTGGTCGGATGAGTCTCAACTTCTGCTGCAACATATGGATGGTAGAATCAGAATTGGGCATCAACAACATGTAAGCATGGATCCATCCTGCTTTGTATCAATGGTTCAGGCTGGTGGGGAGGTGTAATGGTGTGGGGGATATTTTCTTGGCACACTTTGGGCACATTAGTACATTAGTGTCAACACCACAGCCAACCTGAGTATTGTTGCTGACCACATCCATCCCTTTATGACCACAGTGTACCCATCTTCTGATGGCTACTTCCAGCAGAATAATGCGTCATATCATAAAGCGCGAATCATCTCAGTCTGGTTTCTTGAACATGACAAGAATGAGTTCACTGTACTCGAATGGCCTCCACAGTCACCAGATCTTCACCTTTAAGATGTGGTGGAATGGGAGATTTGCATCATGGATGTGCAGCCGACAAAACTGCAGCAACTGCATGACGCTATCATGTCAATATGGACCACAATCTCAGAGGAATATTTCCAGTACCTTGTTGTATCTATGCCATGAAGGATTAAGGCAGTTCTGAAGGTAAAAGGGGGTCCAACCTGGTTCTAGTAAGGTGTACCTAATAAAGTAGCCGGTGAGTGTAGGTAAAAAATACCATTTTGGTGTCTGCATCAGATTATATTTAAAACATTTTATTTTTGTGAACACATGCACATCACATGTAGTGGCTACCGTAATGTTTCAAATAGGATTTGTAAAAAAAAATCAGCTTTCAGCCACAACTTATTCTAACCTGTGCTTATCAAAATATCTAAAAATAATTAGTGATGAAAAACACTGGGATCTATTTAAATGCTAGATCATAAAACATGTTTTTTGCAGCTGTATTTTCTACTGCTTGTTTAGAAATCGTTGACAGCATGTGTATGTGGCAAATATCAAAATAAAAAAGCAAATGCAGTCTTACTCTTTCTGGGTAAAGGTGTTCCTGCGAGGTACCGATAAGTCACATTGATTGTTCCAGAAAAATTGGTGATGTCTTTAAAGGTGTGAACATATCGCTCTGAGTTCAGCGGATGCATTGAGGTTTCTCGCAGCTGACGTTTATCTTCCTCCTGAAACACATGACATTCAAGACAGACAGATCGCAGCATAAGCTTTGAGCCTCAAAGCTAGAAAGAGTTTTCTAATACAGGATTATATGTACATGAGATGCTAAGACTCCTCTTGCATCTTTAAGTGTAAGCGCTGCAGGTCATTATTTTTAGATTTGCCAATTTTCCTGCACACTCTTGTATAATCTCATTAAATCTAAATGACGGCCTTTGAATAATTAATTGTACACACAATATTACTCACACAACTTATCTAGTATTAAATGATAGCATCGTTAATATACCTCAATGTCTTTTTAACCACACAT